CCGGGAAAATTGCTTATTTTTGCAGATTTCGTGAAGAATTCTGAACTAGCCGAATGCTTGCATCGTTATTCGTAAGCCACCTTCGGTCTGTAAACTAGTGAACGTGTGAGTGTCATGTCCTCGATGAAAGCTTTTCGCCGATTATCGAGTAAATTGAAATCAACTTATCGCAACAGTGAATTGCTTATAGTTAATTATTGTGATGATATTTCAGTTGTGATGAGTGATGTAAACAAGAAGCATGGAACAGTTAAGCAACGTCAAACGACGTTAAACTCTTTCACAAAACGTAAATCAGAAGTCATTGAAGAGTCGGGGAATTGTAGCTCAACTACTTCACTTGACCAGGTTTGAATCTTTTCAAAGTTCGTTTCGAAATGTTCTTAATTTTAAACGTGTCGGTCTTTGTGGAGATGTTTTATGTTCACCGATGAAAGTGTAGAATTAGTGCACCTGGAAGCAAAGTTCATCCCTGAATTGAGGATTTCGATCGCATTACCAATAGGTTTCTAATTATAAGGTACTGCATATGATTGCACGATTTTCGGCTTTCAATTAAATTAATTTCATCAGTGCGGGAAGAAATTATTAATTGAATGATTTGTTCATTCAGATGGTTCCTTCTGAAAGCAATTCTCACTCAACTCAATCGAAATCACACGGAAAAGTGAAATTCAATTTTGATTTCACTAGTGATCCCTTGCTGCAAGCAATGCAACGAAAGGTGACAAACAATGAGAAGGTGATTTTTAGTTTGATTATTTTCTGTTCAATGTTGATTCGTGCATAGATTATTCTTTATTTAAAACTGGTTAACATAAAAACATCCAATGTGTGTTATTAACGATTTATGATTATGTTTATTTAGTGGATTTGTTCGACGAAATTGTCAAGAAATATAAAAAGCAGTTCAATTTGTCGAATGTTTTGAGATCCTTATAGAATTGATCAGTAAATTCATTTATTCAGAGATCTGATGAATCTGAGGAAGATTTTTCTGTTGGAAGGAAAAGGGACAAGGGTATACAAAGCAACTCTCCTTCACAGAAAACTTCTTTGAAGAAAAAGAAATTGAATAATCATGATCAACCGCATCATCCAGCCTCCTTTTCTGACTTCAAGTAAGTAATGTTAAGAATCACCTAAATGTCGTTGTAGATATTGCTCTTACTCTTTGTTTTTTGAATTTTGATGAGGCATGATCCATATTGCTTCGCGTCGATAAATTTATTGGAATTTAGAGGAGTAATCAGAAAAAGGAGGAAACAGAATGTGAAATTAGGTGAGAGTCCATTATGAGAGTCCATTATTAGTTGACCGAAGATGTCCTGCCGCTGAAAATTTTCATGATTCTCTGTGCGTCAGTATGTCAGCCACTCGATGGTTTCGACCCTCACTTTGACCCTCGCTCTTATTAATCACTTGTTCATAAGATATGCAAGTAAAGTCATCATTGATATCCATTTTAAGGACCGCGAGTGGTCGTCCAGTTGATAAAGAAGTTCGAAATGTCACCAGTTCTGAGGTTCCATTTTTACTCATTTTGTATTGTATTATAATTTAGGAATATCTTGATTTGATATCGGAGAGCCTCAAAATTTGTAATTTCATTTGTTCACTTTGTTTGATTGGAATTGCCTGGCTTGAAAATTTAAAGGGTATTTAGAAGGTATTCATATTGTTTTACTATTATTGTTAGCAGAAAAAGGAAAATGAAGAAATTCCAATGTTTCTGGCAGTGTTTATATGAGTATTTGAAGGTCAATACGAGTAGCCAGAAAGGTCGTGATCGCGAGCAACGATATCTTGGGAGCAGGTTTCATATGTTATGATTTGTTAGTACAATTTGTTGATAAAATAAATAAGAAGTGTACTGAGTTATGTCTTTGAATCCACTCTTTGTATTGTAATTATAAATTGTTTGTAGCTCTGTAAGAGTAATTTTATTTGATCGAATGAGTAGAAATGGTGGCTTATAGTGACTGACGGTAGTTAATAATAAAGTCTTGGTTGTACTGAATTAATTGTATTGGTGTTGTGAATGAAATTGATGCAGACGAATAGGCACAATGGCTGCACCGTTTCGCACACCTTTATCGATCCCATCACATTCTGCATGCTTGATCCCAACCTTTATCGATCCCAGGATTGAAAAAAAGTCGGGATTTTACAAACCCTAGTTGTGGAGTACAATTTCGGGTGTGGAATCGGAAACAAAAATGAATACAGTGTAAAATGTGTTGCTTTCAAATACGGAAGTAAGAGCGCATGCAGAATGTGATGCCTTGTGATTAAAATTTTTTGGTTGCTGACTAATCGTAAGCAGTTATTGCAAAACGCGTTTCGTTGAGATGTGTTGTTGTTTCATTATGCAACCTTTTTCAACTAATATTCCTGAGCACACACGAAACGAATTTTATTTCATCGCAGTTTCAATGCTTCATTTGTGACAGGAAATTTGTTTTATGATCATTGAAAAGTTCATTTGTTGCTTAATTTATGATTTCTTGAAGGAGCTTGCGGCGCTACGGTACGGCTGTTCCAATCGTGTGAAGTGTCTATTGTTGAGTTTGCTTGCAAAAGGAACCGGATAAGGGTGATCAAAGTGTACGTTATCAAAAACACTTCATGGGAACTGATTGCGCAATTCATCAGTGGGAAGTTTTTCCCACGTTACGTTAATGATTTCCACTCATGCGGGTAGATGGCAATATTCCCCTCGAAAAGAATGTGCTCGTGATGCTTGTCTTTATATGATTACGCTTCTCCAGCACATAAACCATTTTTCCGTCTGAATCGGTCGGATCTACTGGAATTCCATGTATCATTTACACGTTATGAGCTCAGTTGCATTGGAACATTGAATTAAACCTCTCGCAACTAATTGTAAGGAGTTTAGTTCGGAAATTCTTGGTCTTCATCACTCGCTCTTCATCATTCGCCGGTATGCTACTACTCTAAGTTATCATTGCACGAATTTCTAACCATGTTGGTCCAATCTGAGAACCAAACGATATTCAGTGTTTCGAAGCATGCTCACTGCTCCCTTCTGAACCTAGTTCTCAGTATTTCTTATGAACACTCATCAATTTTCAATTGAAAAACTCACATTGAACGATGTGATTCACGAAATTTATGTTTCGAACTGTTAAATTTAGGATTATGACTGTGACTTCACAGGAGTTCTTCGTGCAACATCGGAAATTGTTTACAGCGGACGCCATTGTTTTTCTAATCATGCCAACCTTTCTTTTGGTATTCTACGTCGTCGTTTTGCGAGTTAGTTCTTATCTTATAGTTATTAACTTAGTATCGTTCATTTTGCAAAGGTTAGAGACCCTTTGAATCTTTTCAGTTCCGCTAAAAATCGGTTCTTGTAGAAGAGTGCACAGGTTACTGTAGATTTGTCAAAATCGGCATCACAAAATAGTGAATAAATGTGCAGTCTCGTTTTATTTCATGAAATTATTGGTGGATCTTTATGGACACTTTAGTTGCAGAGTGATCCATGTGATCGCTCATTTCAGCGATCTGATATTGTTTCAATCTGCAACCTTTCAAACAATTGATCCCAACTAATCATTCTTGAGCACCGCAAAGCGAATTTCAGTTCATCGCAATTTCAGTGCTTCATTAGTGACAGAATGTGGATGAAACTCACTGCTTATCGACTCATGGTGCAAATTGGAATACTCGACTGCATTGAACTTATCGCTCACTTCTTTTCTGGTATCATTGAATTTCAGTACGTGCAAAACAATGGATTCATGAGCGACAATTACAAAATTATTTCAAAGGTGAATAAAACTTCTCTGAATTGCATTCACAAGTGCTCTATTTGTTCGATCCAGGCATTTTTGATTTCAGTAGATTTTTTCAGTTGAATTAAAGCAATCTGAATGAAAACGTACGTACCAATCATGCAGAATCGCGTAAAAAAAACGAATGCGGCTGTTTTGCACCATTCATTCAGTGAAGACGATTGCAAAGTTCTCGAAAGAAAAAATAATTTCTGACTCTAGTTCGCTTCAAACTTCAGCTCTGCATTTTCGAAAATGCTCGAGCTAATTTTTCGTGAATGAGAGAAAGTATTTCGCCAGGCAATGCTCAAGCTGATTTATAAAGAATAAAAAGTGTATGTACTTCACGATGGTCATAGTTGTGGCACGATAAGAAGGTTTTCTTAAGCTTTACAAAATAATTCAAGCAAGAATTTCTGGAAAAGATGTACGACACAGATGGATAAAAAAGGATGTAAAATATTTTAACACAAGGCAATTCAAAATCTCATAACAAAATTATTCCACAAATGAAAGGTGAGCGGCGATTATGGTCAAAATGACAGTGATGGTAACAATGTTAATGATATCAGCACTGATCCAGTTTATCCGGAACACCAAATTACAGATAGTTCCGAGAAATGAGTGACACTAGTGATAACAATACACATTCAAAAATTTTGGCTCCAACTCCAACTGCAGCTCTGCGTTTTCGAAAATATCGGCTCCAGCTCCGTCATTTCCTCCCCTCTGCTGCAGCTATGGAAAATATTGTCATATAGATGTTACCTCCGATTAGTGATTGTTGCTGTGATATTTTTCTTGAGGATGCCGAAAAAATTTTTACTTGGCTCTGGAGCATAGGTATAGTTGATCCCAATGAGTCTTTAAAGCTTCAAAACAATCAAGTCTTTCTGTCAACCTAAATATTCCGAATCTCACCAATTCTGCAGTGCTGCTGACTATTCGCTTTGATATTTTAAATTTTTTTTCATGAATGAGAGAAAGTGTTTCGCTAGGCAATGCTCGCTCGACCTAATTCACTTGAAGAATAAAAAGTGTAAGTACTTCACGATGTTCATAGTTGTGGCACGAAAAAAAGGCTTTCTTAAGCATGTGCAAAATAATTCAAGCAAGAGTTTCTGGAAAAGATGTACCCATCAACAAGAAATCAGATAGCAACTACCACCAAATTAATGAATTTGAGATTTGTCACGCAAACATATTGTTCAAGCTTCGACCTTTTGAGCGAGGGAGCAAGAGTCGTTGCAAACTCCTCAGCTCCAGTCATCTCCCTCTGCCGCACTGTCCAAGCGTAATGCTGAACCAGCTCACATGTGAAACCTTGAACTGATGTGAGACTTATCAGAGAGCAAAAAAATTCTCAAATGAAACAAATACTGACAAAATTCTTCTCAAATCCCATGCATCTGCATTCATACAATTTCTGCAGTCAGATGGTACCTGAAGGAACTGATAGTCATTTCGGCATTTTTCGAAACCAATCTCTAGGTTTCGGACACATTGCAGATTCATGGACACTAACTATAAACGCTGACAACTATGGATATTTAGTTGGCACTTGTGAACACCACATGAAAATTTCGAGTTATTTCTCACCTGTGAGTTAGTCATAAATCTTGAATTAATGTTGCTCTATTCAGGTGATAGGAGGGTTACTGAATGGAGCATGGTATCTGTTGGCAATTGTGAAGCTTATACTAGCCTTTGATCGTTTCGTATCAATGGCTAAGCCACATTGGAACGAAATAGTTTTATCGTGGAATAAAGTCACGGTATATTCAGATTTTCAACCATGTTTGTTTTGCGCAGTGGTGAGAAATGACAAATAATGATCGTTTTTCGTGAACGACTTAATCATGTATCTTTACTCTGATCATTTCTCGTCTCATCTCGTTTCGCTGAGAATCACTGATGAGTTATCGTTAATATTCGAGCTCAATTTTATAAAAATACTAGTTTCTCTCGTTCATTCTTGCAGTAGCAGTGGCACATATTGTAATGAGTGTTCAGCGTTTCTCATTCCGTTAAACATTCTTTTAAAAACTGCGAAAAACTAGCACATTTTGGTACCATACATTGTTGATGAAGAAATGGAGTTTTTCGGAATTTCACTGAACTGAAAAACTTCAAGAACAGATATTGCATAACACTGAATTGATTGTTTTCGCATAATTAATGAATTTGTTGTCACTAGCGATGCATTCTCACCGTTATTAAAATTTTATAAGGTGGGTGACGTGCATTTGCGATGGTTTGAATTTTCTGCGGTGCTGTATAAAGGAGATTTTCGGTTGCTCTTCTTTTATTGTCATCAAAGCAAAGGAACATTTCAAGCTGATTTCCCTTTTAGGTTTATGTCTATCTAATATGGGTTTTTTATGCAATTTTAGTTGGTATTCACCTGTCTCCACTCCTTACTTATGCATACTATCCCGATGTATGTTTTCATTTTCTGATTTGTGTATTTTTTAAATTTGATATATTCAAATCCACTATTTGGAAAAAATGTATATTGAAATCCACTTTTTGGAAATTGCGTATTCGCCCTGTCGAAGTTTTCGTATTCACTCTTTCTGTCGAAACGAACAAATCGATAATGCGATCATGCCTGCAAGCACTTTAGCGGTTCATTTTTAGAGACTTTATTGGGATTATAGTGAGCATACACTTATTGGAAATATTGACGTAATCGAGGATCTATTTTCGTTATTCGTAATACTTTCAACTGTCAGCATTTATGTTGCAATAATTGTGGCAACATTTCAAAAGGTAGTTCATTTAATTAATCGCGACCAGTTCTTTTTTATCAAACGACTTATTGCAGTACTCACATACTCAAGAATATGAAAATCTCAATGCACAAACTTGTTATTTACACTGAATTATGCGGTGAAACAAATTCTTGTGTTCGGTTTGGTTGAAATGCTCTCTTTGAGGTTGAGCGTACTTTCTGTTGGTCGAGCATCGAAGGGCGACTCACAAAACAGGTCTATTTTTTCGTCACAAAATCTGCAATTCCACAAGTAAAAACTCCAACGATGTGTGCCCATATCGAAAATTTATCATCCGTGCCCTATGGAAGAAGTCTTGGAGGATTCGAATTGGCAGGAATGAACTGACCCGCCAGGAATCATACAGTCGAAAATTTCGATTTCGTAGCATGAAAACAGCGTGAAAATATCAATGCACTTCGCGTCGACAATTGGTTGAAATGACGCTTCAATTGGTGGATGTCCTTAACAATTAACGAAAAGTTTGATTCTTTTGGAATTAATCTGATCATTTTAGTCCTCGTTGTTTGCAGGTAATGATCCTGTGTGGCTTCGAAGTTCTTGTATTGTCTGTATGGCTGGTTGAGGATAGTTTCCACGTAGAGTTACCCTTGCTACTAGAGTTTTTTTCGAGCTTGTTTTGGGTCCTATGGAATGGCTTGAATCCTTTAATTTATTTTATCTTTAACAGGTTATCATTCATCAATTTCTTCAACCTTGCGTAATGCTGTTCATCATTGTTTGTCAAATAAGCTGATTGTAACAAAAATCAAAAGAACTGAACGAATAATCATCACTGGCAAAAACTCAGTGGGATCGCGCATCTCTTTGGTGTTGTTACGATTGTTTTGGATACGTGCAAAGGTTCTGATGACACTCGTAGACTTGTGACGAATTTGACTGCTGCTGCGGCATATCATTCAACCACGTTTTCGAAGAATATCGAACCTCGTTGCCCAATGTGACCAAATATTTACGTGCATAAATAGAACACACACTATGGGATAACATATTCTGGAAGGAGGTTCCATAAACATAGGAGACATGAATGATCAGAGTTATCCATTTCTAGAACGCTGCGACAAAAAATATGTGGTAACTTTCTAGCCATTCTTAAGGCCTCGATTCTGAATAATGGTAAGATTTGCTGGTGGATAATTTTATGAATTTTATTGTTTCATACTTATGATCCGAGCAGCTCTATCTAAAAACTGCTGTCTGGTATTCACAACTCATCGTCTCCTACACACAACGTGCGTTGAATTGTTCCAACTGAAAATAATACAGTTAATTCTAGATGAAGTTCAATCTCCGGTTTCATTAGCTTTTATTTCTTCAAAATATTATACTCTGGAAAGCAAATGTTCGCTGCCTTTAGAAATTTGAACTATCTCTTGCCGAATTAGGTGGATGCGTCTAGGCGTTTTATGACTGCAGATGATCCTAAGGATTTCAATTAATCCATTATATCAGAATGGTCATCATTTTCAGGACGAATTTTTCCAGCAGTTCAAGCGTAGTGAAATCGAGCTGTCCTGAATAGCAGATATTCGGAGTACATTGTTGAAAGATGAAATTGGATACTCATAGGTTCTGACGATATTACGATCTTTGTAAAAATGAAAAACAATAAAAATTTTAATTTCCCACGTTATAGCCGACCCCAACGTTGTAATTATCCCTAGCATTCATGGAAAATTTGTTTCGGCAAATGCATATTCGGATCATTTTCACCACCACGTCACCATAAGTATTGTTTGGCTGTATAAACGGTTATTGCAATGGAAATGTGAAAGAATAAAATTAATTGGTCATGGTCCATTCCAAACATCGTGTATTTTACAAATATCAATTAAAGACACGAGCTTTTAGCGCATGCGGTTAGCACATGCAGTTACCAAGAATGTTGGAAACAACCATCAGTATGGTGATAGAACGAACGAATGTCATTGTCGAGTACATAATGACAATGATAGACGAGTGTCGCAAAAAATTAAAACATTTCAATGTCAACAACGCTTAATTGATAACAACAATGGTTCTAAAGTGAAATTTAAAAAAAAAAGAAAAACATCGTTTTAAAATGAAAAACATCATGCAGATGGAATAATTGAACATTGTCAACCAACCTGAGTCAAAATCACTGATGTGACTAGCATTCAGTGAGCAGTTCTTCAGTGTGCGACAAAATTGTTCTACTTTGGAAGCAGTTCTTTAGTATCAACCTGAACACACTATTTGAACGTTGGTCAGTCCATTCATCTCTTGAGACATTGTCACATCCCAGCCAGAACAACCCTACCTCGCATGTCAGTTGATAAATGATAAAGTTCTCCACGAAACGCGTCTGTTAAGGATATGCATATCTCAGAATAAAGCATCTCTTGCTTATAGTATAAAGAAAGCCATAAACTGTTTTTTCTGTAGCCGGATACAAGAAAATGGAGCTAACCGGTGCATTTTGTAAGCAATAAACAAACCGACTATAACGATAATCTCATGCATATTTTTCGTTATCTTCCTTATAATAACAAGTTCAGTTGACATTCACTCACTTCTATCAGCTCCATTAAGAAAACAACATGTCCGTTTCACTGACGGCTGCGCAAAGTTTTCGTGGGAATAGTTCCAATCGTGGTATGAATATTCTCATGAGGCGGCAAAAAATAATGGGAATCGATCACGTTGGAAGGCAATTTCACAGAGTTACTCATAGAAATTTCCGGCGATTTTAAACAGCTCAAATAATTGAACGCTTGTCGTTACTGTGATGCATTATTATTTCTAGAACAGACAGTATCGATCATATTAAGTTACTCAGCTTTGTGAAGGGAAAATTGTCAAATATTAGAAGTCGTAATTTTTCAGTCGATAGAAACATCAGAAAACGTTGTTTGAAGCGATTTGGTATTCATTATGTTCCAAACATCGAACCATCGAAACTGAGCTCGAGGAGTGTTCATAAAACTGAATAAGCATAAATTAGGCGAGGTTGACTTTAACATAGGCATTTTTAAAAACATTTTCGAAGGCACCTCAATGGTACACCCTATCTACATTATGACACTCGCTGCGAGGATGTTGGATGAGTGATGAGATGAGTGATGGATGAGTGATGCAGAACACACGTTGCGAGGATATTTTAAGAATTTTTAAGGAGTGCGAGCAAGGGAAGAAGTTGAGAACCGCCGTTTCAACTGTTCCGAAAAATTCCTGCGCTCATACTTGTATCCCTTGTTTACACCATGACTATCTCAGACTTTTAAATGCCTAGTAATGTGAGAACTGAATCTGGCGCTTAAGCATGACAAACAGACTATTCAATTTGCATCGTATGTTTATCAGTTACAACTTTATTGCAGATCAGTGGATCAGTATTGTTTAAGAATGCCGACAGTGTGGGGTTGGATGACACTCGCATGCCTAACAACATCGTTCAGCTCATTAATACGTTGGAAAAATATTGTTGATCAGGCTGTTAGTAAGCATGAAAAGACCTGTGTATCACAGCTCACAATATTTAATTCTTCTATGAGTACATTAACATGAGGAATATCTGAGCATGATAATAATAGGATATGTTCCGTCATTATCACCTCACAATTATTCATTATCACATATTCTGAATGCGATCAGTGCACACGGCAAACGTTGTACTGATTAATCTATCTATACATTCGCAGCTTTCCGCAGAGGATGCTTATATTTTGTCAGCTATGTGGACACAGCACAGGTGCTATTGCGACGGTGTTTGGATAGGAAGCAAAGCAATGCCTTGTACTAAAGTACCATGGCATTTGCCACGTGAATCGCGAATGATCCTCTCATTGTGAATAAACGAAACTTTTCGTTTTTCTCTGCAATCTGCAATTGAACAGTGACATAATAATTTGCATTGGTGGCTTTTGCTTCCAGAGCCAATAATACTCCAAAGGTAATAACAGCACCGTATATCTTCACATACAGCCCTTGTAACCTATGCACGAAGTCCTTGTAGCCTATCCCAATTTTCTTTTGATATGTTCATTTCTTTCGCCATTAAGGGAATCGTTGGTTACGATTGCTATTTTCCGTTTCATTGTCGACTTCCATACAATTAGCACGATTGTTCAACTCAGAGCCTCCTTACTCATCAGATGCGTTTGGTGCCCGGTAAAGTATAATGCTGAATTGTTGCGCACGTAGAAGTGCCACATAAAATCTTCTTGTAGGTGCCCAGATTACCGCGACAGCAACTTATAGCACAAAGATTTTACAGGAAATCTCTCAGCTTAAACGAGCCACTATGAATCAAATGATATGCCGAATGAACTATCTCTGATGGAAACCGTTCACATGCGATATTGTTTAGCACGAGATATTGCATAGCATGTGATCACTGCTGCACGTTTCTGCGCGAAATTTGATGTTGTATTTGAGTGAGAAACAATTCAGAGAACGATCAGATATCACGTAATAATGCCTTGTAATCAGCAGTAAACATCTTGCGCAGTGCTAACGATAAACACAAATACTTTCCAAAATGAATGCCCAACTGTATGCACTCTTGTTTCCCTTGAACCTTCACTATTCGCACTTAATTTCATTCGTCTTCCTAATCAGTTTATTTTATCGTTGCAGTAGACAGCAACTGTATGTCATATGACCATATAATCATCGATGCTGCAGTCTAAATCTTACAATAGTCATATTGTGCAACGTAACGATATCACTATTTATTTTATCATCTAATTCGTTCTTTTCAGCATAAGACACACTGACTGTTTGTTACATACTGAATTGCAAGCGGTTGAGTGTGAAAATGATATGATGACACAGTTTGAAATACAGATCATTAATTTTTCAAATTAAGCCGATAAATTTTTAGACTGAGACTTTATTGGAACACTTTCGTGCTGAAAAGCTGAAAATTAGTGTCCAGATAATCATTGGAATTATTTCATGCTTAGAGTGTGCACTTCTTATCTACTTGTCATGCATGTTTCTTCTTGCTCTCACTAATTTCTATTCAGAGTGAACTTAAAGAGACTCCTTTAATAAATGCGACTTGCGCCGTTCGCCTCGAAAGCTCTGCGGCCGTTCATGAACATAGTTGATCTTGCTGATGTGTTAACATTACTCATGAATTACTGAATAAATTTTTCGTAAAAATATCGATTTCTGTGTTGCTATGGTGCGTATATTGATGCGTCTTGTTGCTTTCAAAATTATTTTCTGCGTTTCGCCTGAAATCATTTGCGAATGAACGTTCTTTAGACGTTTATTGCTCACTGATGATGAAAGTTGTTTGTCATGTTGCTAATATTAGCTATTTGCAAATATATATATATATATATATATATATATAT